TCATGGCCAAGAAAGCCAAATGACACAGCAAAGCTTATAAGTTCAAATGTTCCCGGCACCACTGCTAGTGGCGGAAAGTGTCTGTCTTTTTGGTACCACATGTATGGAGCAGACATCAACACCCTTAGTGTGTATGTCAGGACTGGTTCTCATGACACCCTTCTGTGGTCAAAGACAGGTACTCGTGGGGACAAGTGGCTTCAAGCACTGGTCACAGTCAATAGCAGGACTCATTTTAGGGTAGGTCTAGATTTGTTAATAAACCCACATACTGAATACTAGAAAGGATTGTAAACATCTGTAGGTCATCAGTATGTCCACATAAACCTGCTCTAGTTGTAATGCGGTCACCAGTTCTATGAAAGGTTAGCTTGATTCTTATCAGACTGTAAGGTTTCATTGTCCCATGCTTGCAGGGAGCTGAAATTCCTCCCCGTTGTCTTCACGTGTTATTATTGTACAAGTAAACAAAGAAAACGAAAATGTTATCCTCTGTCATAAGTGTCAGCATCAAGTATAAAAATTAACATTTATCATCTAACTGCATTGCAGATAGTGATGGTCGGGTCAGTTGGAAAGAGTTACCAAGGAGACATTGCATTGGATGACATCTCTATGTCATCAGGACCCTGTAAAGTGGCATCAAGTATGTATTATAAGTTTGATAACCGTGTCATAAATATCAGAATGCTTGTTTTACACCAGTTATGATATAAATTTAAACCACCCTATAATGGAAATTAGTAGTTCACTTTTCTTGGCAAAATTCTGTTGGCTAAATCTCATTACTTCTAACCAAGGAGAAATAATTGTTTATTTTGGAGAAAAGTGTCGACGTTTTAGGTATGTATAAAATTAAGAACTGACGTAACCATTCTCAAAAAGGCATGTTTGCATTGAAAGTATTTTTGTTAAAGCACTTGCTGCTACCACTATTCAGTCCTCAGACACCTTTTTTTATTACACTATCGGCCATGGTGGGGGAAATCAAGTCTTTGTACCATGGGTATAAGGATTAAGGTAGTTTGGTTATTGACTGAGAGAAGTAGTATTTGTAGAAGAAGTAGAAGTTGACCGATAGCTGTGTTCCAGCTAGGTTTGTGGAAGTTTTCTTGGTTTTGTCTATGAATTATTTGGGAACACTGCCAGATTCTGGGGTAGTGTTTGTGGGCTAAAATCACGGCTACCAAGTGGAGGGCACTCCTGCTCCTACTAAAGACTACCCTAAACCCCACTGTGCGACCAGAAAGTGACCACATAGTTACTGGCAAGTTAAAGTTGACGTCACATTCCATGAAAAGACAGCAGCTGCAACTTGCCATCGTGTCTGTATCTGTATTTTCTACATAAAGCTAATGCCGTTTGGTCTCTGTAACACTCCAAGTACATTTCAGAGGCTTATGACATTTCTCCAACTAACCTGCACTGACAAATGTGTCTACCTGGGCAACTCTCAATTTTTTGTTTTGAGGGACACCTGGAGTGGCTGCTCTAGATCTTTCATTCATGGCTCAAGCTGAATCCCTCGACGTGCGGAGCAAAGAGACTAAGAGATCTCTACCCTGTGTACTTTCTGTCCTCATGGTCAACCCATAAATCTCAGTGTTCTTAAACTTCGACAGAACATGTCTTACCCAAAGATGTCTTTTATTTGTTTCAGCAACCTGCACATTTGAAGAAAGCCACATGTGCGGTTATACACAAGATACCTCTGATGACTTTAACTGGGATCGTGGCAGTGGGGCAACTATTACTCCAAACACTGGCCCCAATGCAGATCATACATTGGGATCATCATCAGGTATCAATACTAGGTTTATTAAAATATTTTGAATCCCATTCATGTTTGTCTGAGCCCCATAAACTTCGTTTGTAGACATTCGGATGTCTTTCATCAATACAAATGATGTTATTGATTATTAATGCCTTAAAGGGACTTAGGCTCAGTTCAAACGTCGAACTTTTCGTGTACTGAACCTAATTGCTTGAATGAAGTACATGAAGAGATTGAATCAATTAAGTCCTCTATGTCTAATTTGGGTCGACCCATGAATTATAGATCGAGTGGCTCACATAAGAATTTCGACTGTGAAGCGACTTCGTTGCAAACGTACAACTTCTCATGTGCCTAGCCTAATGCATAAATTGCTAAATTTTGTTATCACTTGTAAGCATTTTAAGCCATTGAACATCGTGAAAGTAAATTGAGTCCAACTAATTAAGTTTGATGTCTGAGTCAGCTGTCGAACTTGTGTCATTTGGGTCGACCTAAATTGGTTTTAAGTTCAGTACATGAAAGATTGACGTTTGAACTGGGCCTTAATTTCTTAGTTAAAGTAACAGACACGTTTTACACCCCATGATCTGATCACCTGTTTACGACCTTGTGATGTTCATTCTTCAGTGGAATATTAAATTTTAATGAATTTTCATGAGACCTGCTGATGGTGTTGTGTATTTAGTCTGACATTGCCTGCCAACTAACTATTGTACTTCTTTACATCTTTATGAAAGCTTCCAATAAAAAAGCCAGTTAAGCATGATAACTGTTCGTCCACAACAACCCCAAGCTCCTATTTTGATTTTGTACTTTTAGGTTTTTACATGTACATTGATAGCACGTCAAGGAAACAAGGAGACAAAGCAAGATTACTTGGCCCGCAAATGCCCAAGACCCCCGCCCAATGTCTCCAATTCTGGTACCATATGTATGGATCATCAGTGGGTTCTTTGTCAGTGTACAAGAAAACTGGAAAACCCACTGGTCCTCGCATTTGGACGCTCTCTGGAGACCAAGGAGATGAATGGCTTGTTGCTCAAGTATCTGTGTGGAGCCCTATTAGACCTTTCCGGATTTCATTCGAGGGGACTGTTGGTCGTGCAGATAAAGGGGATATTGCCATCGATGATATCAGAATAGTCAATGGGAAGTGTGCCTACCCAGGTAATTGCCAATTTTGGTTTTACAGCACTTGCATTTGAATGTACTAAATCCCACTTGGTCCTTTGTCCTTTTTTAAACGCTTGTGTCTTGTTATTTGTGTGGAAAACATACGTAGCCAGATAAATTCTACACTGTGATTTCCTTTAAACAAATCAACAAATAGCATCATTTTCTCTGCATGTGCCCTTTTTTAAAAACATGACGCAAGTCTTCTAGCCCCTAGGGTATTAATTTTCTTTTGACTGCAAAGGATTGGCTTGGCAGTTACAGGCAAAGTATAAACTATACAGATGATTCAGTGACTATTACAACTGTAGGTAATCTTGCCAAGAATCAACACGCAGATGCTATAATTACGAGTGGAACTACCATAAGGGACTGTTGATTAAAAAAAATAAAGAAAAAGGCAGGTACTTCGGTAGTTCGAAATAGTCATCATCGGACTAAAAAACCTGATGACCATGGTGAGCTACTTAAAGCTAAATAGGTAGTCTAAGCGAGGATTTGAGCTTACACCTGGGAATTGAACTCAGAAGAGAAGGGACTTAAGGGTGCACACTAACCATTCATTTAATTTAATTTAATTTCAAAACTTATAAAGCGCAAATATGTGCCATCCTTGCTCCAGCAGGCGATGCAAAGAAAATGAAGAAGTGGAAGATTTTTTTTCAAAAAATTAACAGTGAATGTTTCCTTGTTTAAGGGAATTGTGACTTTGAAAGGGGAACCTGTACTTGGCGCAACACTCGGAAGGAGGACGACTTTGACTGGTTAGAGGGCAAAGGCAATACACTGTCGGCAACGACAGGGCCTTCCACCGATCACACTACTAACACAGCCAATGGAACTTACATGTTTATCGAAGCTTCATCTCCAAGACGACCTAATGAGAAGGCAAGGTTTATAAGTCAACAGTTCACTCCTGTTCCGTTAAGAGGTAAATGTTTGCAGTTTTGGTATCACATGTTTGGTTCAGACATTGGCACTCTCAATGTTATCCAAAAGACTGGGCCAGGAAACAAGTCTGAAACTCTTCTTTGGAGTTTGAGTGGTCAGCAGGGCACCAATTGGTTACTTGGAAAAGTCTCCCTCAGCAAGATTCCAAGTAAGAATTTCTGGATTGTGTTTGAAGGAGTCCGTGGCAATAGTTACAAAGGCGATATTGCCATTGATGATGTCCTTTTGACAAATGGAGATTGCGCAATAAGTCCTTCTAAAGCAGATCCAAACAAGCCAACAGCCACCACACCAGTAGTGACAACAAAGTTCACCCTTCCACCTACTCTACCTCCCTCGCTTTATAATTGTGACTTTGAGCAGGGTTTTTGCAACTATACTCAGGAGCTTATTACTGATGTTTTCAACTGGACACGCCATCAAGGAGGAACATATTCTGGTGGAACTGGACCTGTCATGGATCACACTAAGCAACAAGGAGTAGTAGTAGGGCCTAATGGACCAGGCTCCCTCCAGGACCTACTGACTGGACGATGTGTTCACGTGTACTTAGGTGGCCGCACCAAACCCCAGCCAGGCCACTCTGTTGTGTACTATAGAGGCTGTGGTGAGGCTAGGTTGGAGTTTCAACTGACTTCAGATGGCTACATGAAATTCACTAAGTTCAACATGTGTTGGAGCCGTAGGGGAGGGCCAGGATCTAATGCAGATGATGTTGTGTTAATTGACAGTTGCAGTGACAAGTGGAGGTTTACATCAGCAAAATCAATTCAGCATGTTGCAACGAAGAAGTGTGTTGTGGCAAATAAGGGAAGTGCTACAGATAACGTAAAACTTGTTTTGTCTTCAACTTGTGACCAGAATAACCAAAAATTCAGATGGCAGCCAAGTAAGTACAACGAATTATAGTGTGTAAGGTTTACACAAAATCTGTTTGCCTCAATGGACAAAATCATATCACCAGTGGGATTATTTCACTTGCTTAAACAGGGTGCAAAGAAAGTCAGTTTTACAGCCTGCCATTCGGACAAGTGTAGCTAGCATGTACTGGCGGACCACAAGTCATTTCAACTAGCCCCCAAACCCTTTTTGATTAGCAGGATTGATTGCAATCTTTCTGTAATTTGAATTTCCCCAAAAAACAGCACTTGCCGTCGGGCAAGTTTAGAACAAAAATCACTAGCCCAATAGCAAAATCCACTAGCCCTGGGCTATTGGACACGACTTTCTTTGCACACTGTTACATCTCTTAGCTTGTGTAACAACTGGGCTTATGTTTAGGAGCGCTGACCTTTTAAGTTCATTTTCCATCTCACCCGTTTTCTCGCGTGCTTAAGCCTGGTGTTCATTTGTGGGTAAAAATCAAGTTTCTTTATTGCTAAACCTTCCCAGATTCTTTTGTCTAAGGAAAACACTTAATCCTAGTCATCCTTGATCGTCTTTGATTATCAGTATTAGTGAGATATCATTATTTTCTTGATCTGCCCTTGATTTGATAGTCAGCAGTCATTCCCAGAGCTTATGAAAATTGAGTGTTGGCGACTGATTTAGCTTGGAACTCATTCTCTTATTGCTTGACTTCATTCTCCAACCTGACAAATCAAAACGGTACCTGGAATAGACCTACCACGTTTCCTGATCTATGGGCAAAATATCCGAAAATATCAACTCCAACCTTTTGATATTCAGAGCTGGAATACTATTGAATGAGGGATTTTAGGTTTTTGTTATTTCAATTTTTTTTCCAGTGTAAGTTTGCGTCTGAAAGACTTACGTTTTATTTTATTTCAGCTCGTGGGTGGTATATATACATTGAAGCATCCTGGCCAAGGAAACCCAATGACACTGCAAGGATTCATTCACCAGCAATAACGACCAATCCTTCGAAGGTTAGATGCCTGTCCTTTTGGTACCACATGTATGGACCACACATAGCACAACTCAATGTCTACACCAAGGTAGGAAAGAAGTTTAATGGACCTCTTTGGTCAAGATCAGGCACTCATGGTAACAAATGGTGGCATGGTTTGTTGCCAATATCCAACCAGAATGCATACCAAGTTGTGTTTGAAGGTGTCCGTGGTTCAAGCTATCAAGGAGATATTGCTCTCGATGACATTGAAGTCCAAGACAATGCATGTCAGGCTACAAGTGATTGTGACTTTGAGAATCCAGTACCACAGCTGCAATTCTGTGGCTGGAAGCAGAGGCCTGGAGATAATTTTGATTGGAGTCGTGGACAGGGTGGAACCCCATCAATCAACACAGGACCAGCTACTGATCACACCCTTGGCAATAAAAGAGGTATTGATATACATCTGACTGTACAGAACGTGTCAAAGTTTTAAGTGAAGTTTTGGTCCAAAAGCAATTCTGGATTTACTACCATGGACGGAGGCAAACAAAAAAGAGTCAATTCGGTTTTCTTAAGCTAATTCTGCTATTGTTTACACCCCTTTGCTAGTAACCTTTTTTATGCTAAGGTATCGCTGCATTGGGCAGCTAAGCCTTGTTCCCCTCCTGTACTATTCCTGTTAAAACTCTGTTTAACTAAAACAAAACAAGCCTCGGGGCTCTTCGAAAGTCCTGTCCGGTCATCCTAGTCAGGTATATTTCTTCTGGCGAGTAACGTTTCAACCTCACTTGTCCTATTGGAAAGAGTTAAGGTAACAAAATTGGTAGCTAAGGCAAGGAAGTAACGGGCCTCGGTAAGCAAAGTGTGACAGGAAAAGCTAGAATTCAAGTTTTTTTCAAGCCCTGATGCCTTAATCATTGTGTTTGCTATTCTGTCGTCTTAGGACACTTCCTCTTTATTGAGGCTACACGTGCTGTAACTAACTGGAAAGCATGGCTTATGGGACCAAATATTTCACCACAGGCTGGAAAGTGTTTCCAGTTTTGGTACCACATGTATGGTAGTAGCATTGGTCAACTGAATGTTTACCTCATGACAACCAATACTGTTCCAAGAAATCCCGTTTGGTCCAGGCAAAAAGATCAGGGAAACTTTTGGTACATTGCTCAGATATCGTTAACGCAGTCCAGTTATGTGAATGTAAGTTCGACTACATGTATGTTCTACTTTTCATAAGTACATTAGAACTTCGATAACTCGAACTCGGATAACTCAAACTCCCTGCTAACTCGAAGTAAGCCCCATTTCCCTTGGATTTCACCCCACTTTTTAGTCAATTTTACTCGGTTGACTCGAACTGGGACAAAATTTCCTTTCCCTTGATCAAAAGTTCACCGAAATTTACCCCGATTACTCGAATTCTGGTTCTTGTAACTCGGATGACATTCCATTAGCACTTCTTGTTGTATAATCTGTAAAAACACTAACTTTCTTGGTGCAACGAACAGATCACGTTTTATCATGAAAATGAATAATCATGTTGCCATTTCGGATGAAATGTTTTGTTAAATATGCACTGTACTATAAATAATGAAGTGCTGAAGTCAGTAAGTATCTATCAGTAATGTGGCAAATTGAATATTGAATCCCTGGAAACTTGTACTCTTTTTCGTTTCCCTTTAGAGTTCGAGTTACCGGTGAGGGTTCTGTGTGACTGAGGGTTCTGTACCAGTAGCATTTTGTTTTAACTATCTTTTGTCAACGTGAAATTCTCGCCATGGTGGACTTTGATGTAACGGAATTTCGTTTCTGACTGCACGTCATGTCTAGACTACCGACATCTTCTCGAACTTTTGTTTCAATTACCGACCGTTTGTTGCCATTTTTGCAATTCTTCTTTTCGAACTTTTAGGCGAATTGTCGCGAGTTCAGGACTAATTTCACGTCCATTACTTTAGAACACTATTGTACCTTTGGAATTAAAATTTTCGATTTATACGAACCAAAAGACGCAAAATTTCATTTTTTGTAAGCAAATTACATTTTGATTTTTACAAGTAAAATTTCTCCTAAAAGTTGCTTCCTTTGTTGTGTAGGTGTTGTTTGAAGGTGTGCGTGGAACAAGTTATACAGGAGACATAGCTATTGATGATTTCAAACTAATGGATGGAGCATGTAACAAGCCGGGGTACTGTGACTTTGAGAAGGATGACTGGTGTACATGGACCAATGCTGACAGAGAGGACACTTTTGATTGGATAGTTGGTAGTGGGTCAACAGCTTCATCGTACACTGGTCCAACTACTGACCATACAACAGGTTTGTCTTTCATGAAAGTGACCACCATATTCACAGTAGAGTGAACAAGCGAAGCGGTTGTCAGAGTACCCTGAAAAAAATTCACTCAGGCTGTAGCGGGAATTGAGCCCTAACCTTTGCGATAGAGAGCTTTAGATTCTAAGACGGGTACGACGACGAGTACGAGATTTTCTCAATACTAAGTAGTGCGCACGCATGAACCAGCGTCATTTTGGCGGGAAAATGTGGCAGCCGTCGTCATTCTACTACGAGTTTTAACGAGAATGTCGTGCTGGCGAAAACACAAATTTAATGTTAGAAGTTTTATCATTTTGCGATCGGGAAGGCTCGTAACCTCCTTCACGTAAGATAACACTGTTAACTTTTCTAGTGAAATATGGTAAACTAAAGCTTTCTGGGAAGTCTATATTTTGAGAATAGGCGAAAAAATTTTCAGTCAAATCTCGTACTCGTGGTCCTCCTCGTCCACCAATCCAAAGGTCTTTAATGATCAGACACAACGCACTATCCGTTGAGCTAATCAAGTCAGCTGGAGAGGAGGCCATTGTGAGTTCTCAATATACCATTTTTTTCCCTAAAGTTGAGAATAAATGGGTTATTATTCTTTTTAATGCAGCCGTCAAGTTGTTAATCACATTTTCTGGCAATGTTGTTTGATCATGTGTTTTAAAACCAGTGATCTCGCAAACCGATGTTTTCTTCTGTTTTCGATAATGAAGTGGTTGATATGCAGAATCGTTTTTTTTTTTAATTCTGTTCTTGGCCCTGTGAAATGTTTCATGGAATTGTGTTGTTATAGTTATAACAACACAAAGTAGAAACAGATGTGCTTTTTGTCTGCTAACAAACTATATTTATTGGAGTGGGCATCTAAAACAGTTTATGTCCTGGTCTTGTTTGAAAAATCTCATTATTCAGGGTCGGCCAGGGTTTTTGGGTATACGGTATACAGGGGCTTTTTAAATCGGGTATACGGTATATTGCAGCTTAAATACGGGTATTTGGTATATCACTTTCTTTGAATTTCAGGTATAAAGTATACCTGAGTTAATTTTGGGTATATTTGGATGAATTTTGGGTATTTTTGGGTATTTTGGCGAATTTTTTTCGGGTATACTGGTATACCACTACACCCCTGGCCGACCCTGATTATTACGGCTTAGTTGAGTATCATCAGCTTAGTTTTTTGGCCATCTGGTTTTGCTAGATAAAAAAGAATGTACCTAACAATTACCATACACCAACGGGTCAGCCTAGTTGATAATCATACTTGGCTATCGAGTCTTCCTTTGTCAAAAAAGGCGTTTCCATTAGAACCAACTGAAAGCCCAGCTCATCATTGTCTTGCTACCTGCTTTTTGTTTGAAAAGTTGAGTAAGGGACAAGCTGTTAGGAGTGCATTTAAATAGCCATGTTCCGCCTTTTTACATTCATAAGATTCTGAGATGCAAATCTAATCTTTCTTTGGTACCTGGCTCCTAAAGGAAGACATCTTCCTGCAATCGAAGTGAACTTTAAGAAATTGCAAAATTGACCTTCTTGTTAGTACGACTAATATTAATATAAAGATCTGACACTGAGATTATAATTTATATATTGCTGTTTGTGTGCAGTGTCACTTACAATTGTCAACGCGTTCTCATTTACAGGACTCGGAATTGGCAAATATATGTTCATAGAGGCCTCTTCTCCAAGAAGACCGGGCGATAAAGCAAGACTGTACAGTGAACGGTTCTTAGCAACTGATCCAAGAGGACAGTGTATTAAGTTTTGGTATCACATGAATGGAAATGCTATAGGCACTGTCAATGTTCTTGTGAAAACTGGAGCAGGAAATCGTTCTGAGAATATTGTGTGGACACTGTCTGGTAGCCAGCAAAATAAATGGAATTTTGGACAAACATCTGTTTCAAGTACCAAAAGTTCATACCAGGTAAGAGCGCTTTGAAACAGAGGCTTGGACGTGTGTAAGACCAACATGTTTGGGCCAGCAACGTTGGGAGTTGTTGCGTCCGTGTTGTAAGTGGTGTGCAAACGGATGCAACAACTCAACCTACAAAGCATCGCGGCAAGATTAGGACCCATATGCAGGATTTTCATTAAGCCCATCACCTCGTATCCAACACCTCTCTGAATATTAACTAACTCCCATCAGAGGCCTCACTCAAAATCACCCTGGATATTGTTAAGTTATGGGAACGAGGCGACTCCGGAGATGAGAGGAAGCAAGAAGACTAAAAAAGCAGGCGGGAAGGTCATCGCTAGTGAGGGGGGGAGGGGGTGGGGAGGGTCGCCGATAAGTGAGTCCTTCAGCGATGCATGAAAAGACAGTGTACGCGTGAACTGAGAAGCTCAAGGTCAGCGGCTTAACACCTGACCACCTGGGCCCCTAGAATAGAAAATTATGGTGATTGTTAGCACGGGCCCCGGTGAGAAAAGTAATTGAATTTGCTGCTATTTTTTGGCTTAAGGGAAACCTTTTCTTCTCGTAGATCGTTTTTGAAGGCATAAGAGGAAATGGATATCAAGGAGATATAGCTATTGATGATATCACATATACCGTCGGTTCATGCGTAACTCTTCCACACAACGCTGTGCCCACCCTTCCACCCACCACACCAGCACCAACGACTGCCCCTACATTACCCCCCAAGGGATCATTTGATTGCAACTTTGAAAAGAACTTATGTTCATGGACTCAAGATTCAAGTGATAAATTCAACTGGACCAGGCATAGAGGTTCCACTGGGTCTAGCGGCACTGGTCCGACAGTAGATCACACACTTGGAACAGGTACAGTCCAAAAAAACAACTTTCCTTGCTAACACTTCTCATACATAATTATGTGACTTTTTCGATTTTTCCCTTTTTTCGTGCCCTGCGACGCGACCGACTTCGTAAACGCAAGAAGCCATGCAAGAGAGAAACCTCTGCTCGCAATGACGTTTTCGCGAACTACCTAAAAAACTCCCGTGAGTTAACATCACTTGAAAATGTCTCTCGTCTAAGTGTTATCCACAGTGGTGTAAAACCTAGCCATTGCCAGGCTCTTGGTCGTTGGCCATTAGCGGAGGTTCGACTGTAGTTCTTAAACCGGCCATGCGTCGTCTTTGGCCAAAGGGTATGTGTCTGTTCAGTATTTGGGGAGTTTCTGATAACATGAAGTCGGCAATTTTTTGTGTTAAGATTAAGGTGGGGGAAGTTAAGAAAAATGCATGATCTGTGAATGTAAAATTTAGCTTTTTATGCAATAATGTGTAACACAATAGTTTTTCTTTCCTTACAGCAAATGGTACCTATGCCTATATTGAAACATCGTTTCCTAGAAATCACAACGACACTGCTCGACTCATCAGTGCTTTAATCCCAAAAAACTCAAGACCTGGAACGTGCATTTCATTTTGGTATCACATGTATGGTCCTGATATTAATACACTTAGTGTGTATACAAAGTCAGGAGGCTCACTCGGCTCACCAATTTGGAAACGAACTGGAAGTCAGGGAAATAAATGGAAGTACGCACAGGTGTTTGTGAGGTCGCTCCTTGATTACCAGGTTGGTTTCGCACAAAGATTTTGTCAATTTTGTAGTCCCTCTTCTTTCTTCTTTTTGAGAAATTTTAAAAGGGACCTTATGAAGCTAAGGCCCCATCCGCCCACACAAATTCGGAGATTTTTCGTGGCTCGTACAATCTTGAAAAGGTCTTGAGTTTTAGTGGCCTTCTTGAAAAGTCCTTGAATTAGGTTAAGGTCATTTGGAAGTACTTGATTTCATTAGTAGGTCGTGAAATAACTACTTTGTTTACGCCACAAGATTTTCTGTGAAATTAGATTACTTTCCCGAGGAAAATTTGGCTCATCATCGGTGTTAGAACCTGTAAAACTCACTGGTAACGTTAAACATTTTTGTGCATAAAAAAATTTATTTCTGAGTTTATGCCAAATACTATGTCTGTATCCAGGGTGTAAAGAAAAGCATTTTTACAGCTTGCCATTCGGGCAAACTGAAGCTAGCATTTACTGGTCCAAACGTCATCTCAACTAGCCCAAAAGCTTTTTGACGAGCAGAATTGATTTCACAGTTCTTCTTCAATTTTAAGTCCTCAAAAAACATCACTTGCCCGTCGGGCAAGTTAAGAACAGAATTCACTTGTCCGAAAGGAAACTTCACTAGCCCCGGGCTATAGGACACTACTTTCTTTGCACGCTGTGTACCTCAGATGCAACTGCAAGTCACACCAAGTGACTGTTGTTATTTTGCAAAGTGTTGTTACAGAAAGCAGTATAAAGTAATATGATCAACCATGGCAATCGTAATTGACTCCATTGAGTGTTTTAGCCTGAATAAGGTGTTCAAAAGGGGGTCAAAGAATGCTGATTTATTGAATAAATCGTAGTCCGTAAAAAAATATAATTTGCCCTTGAAAAGTCCTTGAAAAGGCCTTAAATTTTGTTTGTCTGAAGTTGTACGAATCATGTTTTTGAAACCCCAACGTTTTTACTCGGATTTATGTGGACGGGGCCTAAAGCCACTCAAGAGAGCGGTTTGAAAAAAATATTCGATGAGCGGTTTGAACGTCTTTGTTGTCCTCTGTGATCTCACTAATTCCAGGTCTGAAAAGGTAACTGTTAATTTTTGTACAGGTTGTATTTGAGGGAGTCCGTGGGAGGAACTATCAGGGTGATATAGCAATCGATGATATCGTTATCAAAAATGGTTTCTGCCAACCACTTAAACAGTGCTCATTTGAAGATGTTCAAATGTGTGGATGGACCAATGAAAAGAGGTAATATGTGGTATAAAGTGTAAGAGTAGTGTTATTATTTCGATCTTTATTTTTGAATGTGTAAACCCTTGGATGTCTCCACGTGGTCAAACTGAGGCGCGATTCATTATGTAACCGCAGCAAAAGGTGATTTTTCTAATTGGATAACATGCTATTTTAACGTGCGAAGATATGTTTTCGCGCGAAGGATCACCTGGAATTTCATTGATGTTTATATAATGAAAAAAGGATCACATTTCATATGCAATGTCAAGAGAAAATGCGCTTTATTTGAGTTTCACTTTATTTAGCACGAAGGTATTAAACTGGAGACGTGACTACCATTTTACTTGGTCATTCGAGCCACGCGAAGGTCCAGCCGCTTGCAGTGCAAAGGGAGTACCTTCATTTCTCAGGGCGCTTACCATATGTCAGAACTGACCGGCCGGACCATTTCCGTCATTATGAGAATTTCACTTTTTAATCAAAACTATCCAGCCAGATCAATCAAATCCTAAATAATGTGCATGAAGGAGATAGTTTTTCAGCAAGAACCCTTTGTAAGAAAGCCGATTTCGATTGCTAACTGACTGGTCCGGCAACGGTCCGGCCGGCCAGTTCTGACAAATAGAAAGCGCCCATAGTTATTTTAATGACCCTGAGTATTGGTCTGGCCCCTGAAATCGAGCCCGCGACCTCCCGCCCTACGGTCAAGCGCTCTACAGACTGAGCTAATTCTGCCGTGTTTTAGATACTTTCCAACATCTCGCGCTGGCGAAAGGACCGGCTGGTCGGGCTGGTGTTTCTTTCTTTCCTTTTTTTGTAATTTGACTGTCAAAAGTACGCTTTAACGAGAGAATAGCAGTTATTAAATCTTAAATTATTCACCAAATTATTCCGTCAGGGCGCCCCGGCTAGAAAGCTAAAGCAAAGTTCGATTTATTCCCATTAGGTTGTTTTTGCTTTCAATTGTAACTTTTGATAATTTCCAACGAACCCTCAAAAGTCAGTCTGAGTCTGGACCTTGTCCTCAGTTATGTCATAGGTTGCACTGTGGCCTTCATTCATCATTTTTTTTCGGTACACACCCATCTTTTTAATATCCAATTCCACTCATTTCCTTTTTGAAATATATACTGCACTCAGCTCTCGTCTCCACTCAGAAAACAGGCAAAATATCGCTTGTGTTATTTTAACTGATGCGGTAATTTCTGATCTACAACTCCCTCGTAACCTGTCGTATTTCTGATAATAAACCCGGTGTCATTTTCTTGGTAATGTTTTAGTGCTGATAACTTTGACTGGACACGCCAAAGTGGTTCGACATCAAGTACCGGCACTGGCCCCGCAAATGACCACACCTTTGGAACAGCGAAAGGTTATTACATGTTCATTGAAACCTCGCTTCCACGAAAGCCAGGAGACAAGGCAATGCTTATGAGCCCCAAATATTCAACAACAAAGGGAATGTGCCTTCAGTTTTGGTACCACATGTATGGAAGCCACATAGGGACACTAAACGTCCGTATCAAGCGCATGGTTCTCGGAAGACCCACATACTTTTTGAAGTGGTCTAGATCAGGCAATCATGGAAATCGTTGGAGGATTGCCCAGGTACAGAAAAATAATCTCTGAGTTCACTGAACTTGTCATAGAAATCTTGCTTAATTCTTATAAACGCTTTTTTTCCATGTCGAGCTGCATGCTTATCAACGTTCACTGATGTACCGATGGTTGGTGTAAGGGAAGACCCCGGGGGGGGGGGGGGTACCCCGGATTTTAAGTGACAGGGATGGTCGAATTGGGTCAAAAATCCACACACTCAAAAATCCCTAGACCAAAATTTAGCGCTCAAAAAATTCCATGCCGAATTTCCGAGCAATAAAAATCTCCAGAAAGCATTGAATGTTATAACACGAATATAGAAACATCAGTTTTGAATAACCCCAAAAATCCCTACTAAAATCAAGCCACCCAAAAAATACTCACCAGAATTTTCCTACCCCAAAAAATTCCGAAATCGAAAATTTCAAACCCCAAAATATCCTTCGATCACCCCTGTCACTTGAAATCCGGAGTACCCCACCTGGGGTGAAGACTAGAACTGGAACAAGTTCCCTCTTTCTCTTCCTGTATTAAAGTGGCTATGTCACGAGGACTTTGCCGTTAGGTCAACTCTGTGCTGAAGTCATTACTTAGTACCTTAACCAATACACAAATTTCATCAGGGAGCACCACCTGTAATAATGTATTACATTGGTGATTTTTGCGGGCATGAAAACGGTGATCTAACATTTCCAGTTTCAATCCATGTCCATCTTTGCCATCCGTAACAATAGACGATAGGAAACACTTTCAATGCCTAAGTAAATTATAGTCTTAAAGAGCAAAAGTGTACCATCTTTTTTTGAACTCATCTTATGTGAAGACACATTTTAGCTTTTTTAAAAGATAGGAAATAGCGTCACATAGTCCCTTTAAGAAACAGTCAATTACACTGCAAGAATTTGCAATTTAAGAGGCGCCTGGAATGTAAGGGACAAGTTATTCTTTTGCTGTAGGACTTTTTAATCCTGGGCCCAGTTGTTCAAAGGCCGATTAGCGCTTACCCGTGAAGCATTTTCTTAGATAATTTTCTCTATTCTTTTTAGAGCATCTAATCATCAAATTGTACACAAAAAGAGTGAAACTGGATTTTGCTTTTTAAGCTGTCATATCTGAATTCGAATTTCGCACTTAACCTGGGTTTAGTTAAGGCGATCGAAATATCGAAGTGGCCTTATGGCGGGGTTCAAAGTAGCAGTCCCCGGTTCAACGATGTAATGTTTTGGGCTAGAATTTAACATGCTTCGCAAAGAACCTTGCAGACAGAGATTCATTTTAAAGCGCACACTTGCATAGGTTGTTAGTGAGCTGAGTCTATCCTGCCGGGGAAACGCAAGCAGTTCATGTAATCACAGCTAATTTGAATTGGCAGGACTTTTTGTAAGAAACGCTCTGACAGGGCTCATGAATACCATCCTGTAAAAGTCATTTCTTCACCTTGTTCTTGGCAGGTGACAATCACATCAAATTCTGATTATTGGCTGGTATTTGAAGGAATACGAGGGTCCAGTTATCAAGGTGACATAGCCATAGACGATGTAGAGTTACTGGAAAATGCATGCCCACCTCCAGGTGATTGTAACTTTGAGACAGGCATGTGTACTTGGGTCAATGTGCCTAATACTGATGATTTTGATTGGCTACGTGGAAGTGGCTCGACAGCGAGTCTCAACACTGGTCCTGCTATTGACCACACAACAAACTCTTCTACAGGTAAGTATTTTTGAGGGAATTTGAAAAGAATTTTTTTAAACAATTTTGTTGATCTGAATCTCTTTTAATAAATAGTTTTGAGGAAAAGTAGATCAAAAGGTAAGGCGCATACGGGACCCTAGCCAGCAAGCAACCACTCCATTTTGAGTGGCGAAGGAAGCGAGCCGTGAGATAACGCGCGTGCGAGCAGCGAAGTCACGAGGGGCGCCTCGCACTCTCGTGTCTTCTTCCGTGTGCCCCTCACGCGTGAGGATAGCTTACCCGCAGGCTAACGGGATCTTAACTCCCATACAACTTCATCATTTTATCACCTCTAAGAATTTACAAAAATAATCATAATTAATCGATAAACCAGTGGCAACCTACCAACCCAATGAACATGGGTTGTCAATGATTCATTGCCAATTCGTCTTTGTAAAATTTAGTTTTTCTTTTTTTAAAAAACTTAGAAAGTCAGTGGGTTGAAATGATTTACATACATGTGGTGGGGTTCAAGGAGGACTGATAGTTAACTGACTTGCAAAAAGCGTTTCCATCGTTTCGAACTACTTACCGTAGACTTACTGCTTATAAGCTTCCCCCCCTCCAGTTATGAGCCCATCTACCAGTTAACATCTATTATGGCCGTGACTTACACTCTCAGCAGAACTAACATGGATATCAACATCAATATAGCCATACAGAACCTTTTTAGGTGGTGAACAAACGTTGGGGTAAATTCTTGGAGTGCCTTTGGAGTTCTGCAGCAGACAAACATTTTCTCTATTCTCGTGAATGTAACATCTTTGCTTCTCGTTCTTCCAGGATTCTATATGTTCATTGAAACGTCCCTCCCACGCAAACCCAATGACAAAGCCCGTCTTGAGTCCGAAGAGTTCCAACCAACAGGCTCATCAGGACGCTGTTTGAAATTCTGGTAGCTTACCCGCAGGCTAACGGGATCTTAACTCCCATACAACTTCATCATTTTATCACCTCTAAGAATTTACAAAAATAATCATAATTAATCGATAAACCAGTGGCAACCTACCAACCCAATGAACATGGTTTGTCAATAATTCATTGCCAATTCGTCTTTGTAAAATTTAGTTTTTCTTTTGTAAAAAACTTAGAAAGTCACTGGGTTGAAATGATGTACATACATGTGGTTGGGTTCAAGGAGGACTGATAGTTAACTGACTTGCAAAAAGCGTTTCCATCGTTTACAACTACTTACCGTAGACTTACTGCTTATAAGTTCCCCCCCTCCAGTTATGAGCCCATCTACCACTTAACATCTATTATGGCCGTGACTTACACTCTTAACAGAACTAACATGGATATCAACATCAATATAGCCATACAGAACCTTTTTAGGTGGTGAATAAACCTTGGGGTTAATTCTTGGAGTGCCTTTGGAGTTCTGCAACAGACATACATTTTCTCTATTCTCGTGAATGTAACATCTTTGCTTCTCGTTCTCCCAGGATTCTATATGTTCATTGAAACGTCCCTCCCACGCAAACCCAATGACAAAGCCCGTCTTGAGTCCGAAGAGTTCCAACCAACAGGCTCATCAGGACGCTGTTTGAAATTCTGGTATCATATGTATGGTGCTACAATTGGGACACTTAATGTTTGGATGAGTAGTAATGGCTCCTCAGGAATGATCTGGTCACTGGCAGGAAATCAACGTAACCAGTGGAATTTTGGACAGGCTCCTGTTAGCAGTAGGAATGTCTATCAGGTTGGTAACTTGTGTTAGGCTTTCTCCTTTTCCCCCAAACCCCTTTGGCCTTTGCCAAATGTGGGCATTTGAACTCATGTAAGAAAGGCCAAGCGAACTTATTAGTAATTTCAACCTAAATTTTCGGCGATACTGGGATCTATTTTTTTTTCATGAACAAGATAGCACGATAATGGTCTTTGACAAAAATGCACAGATAAATTTATGGATAAGAGGTTATTGCTAATTTTTCCTTGTTTCGGTAGTGTATTTATCAATTCCCACTGTCAGAGATATTGCAGTAAATGTCTTGTTTTATTATTTTTCTCTGTGTGAAGGTCATCTTTGAAGGTGTTAGAGGTCAAGGCTATCAAGGTGATATAGCTATTGATGATGTACAATTCACGGTTGGCAGTTGTCCTGTTTTGCCCTCTGGAGCCAAGCCCTCTAACCCCTGGACTACTCCAGCTGTCTCAACCGTGCCTACCACCACAGTTCCAACACCAGGTAACTGAGATTTCATTTATTGAAAGAGCTATGTCACACGAGATATTACTGGTTTAGGTCAATTGTGTGCTTAAATCACTATTCAAAAAATGTTGCTGTACAGTTATAAAGAAGGCACCAATAAATTTCATCAGGGAACTCTAACGGCGCGGTTGTCAAAAGTAGCCGGCTGTCGGCGAAAAGTGCCGCCTACTTGGTTAGTACGGCCAGCTACTCTGCTTGGCATTTCTTTGAAAATGACGTTTTTCAAATAAAATGTCCCTGGACTGGCCGCTTACTTTGACAACTCAACTGTCTACTTCAAAACTTTCTGACAACCCCGCGAGTAACGATAACAAGACAGCCCATTTATAGCGGTCTTATTGGAAATTAGTCTTGCTGCCTATCTTTGTCTACTCTTACCTCCAAAAAGAAGAAAACAAATTTATACAGTGCAACCAACTCAACAAGTGCCACCAAAACATTAATTCAGTGCCCAATCATAGGTCACGTACACAAAAATGGAGTCTAGGGAATTTGGTAGTTCGTTAGCCATTAAAAAAGTATCGGCGACCCCAGTTGATCTCAGGATTTATTTGTATTTTAGCCTGGGACCAGGTTCCGTAGTGGGAGGAAAGGCAAATGGCATAAATGGAAGAGCTAAGCCAGCTGAGTGTGCCTACTTCGGGTCCCCTTTTTTTCGCCCTTTCCCCCCACTGCGGAGCCTGGTCCCAGGCTGTTTGTAGTTAAGCATGAAAACTTCTCTCTCGTATATTTTTTATTTAATTACACGTTAGAGACTGTTTGATTTTCCATGGGGGATCATGGGTTTCTTTTCCCGATTATCCAGCAAGCTAAAGTTTGTTTTCGCTCCGTTGAACAGAGGAGCCTTTGAATGCAACTTGTAGAGCAATAATTTTGCATTATTTTCAGCACCTTCCATTTATGACTGCACGTTTGAGAACGGTACGTGTACTTGGACTCAAGCACTAGATGACAAATTTAACTGGACTAGAGCGCGAGGGAAGACACCATCTCGATTAACTGGACCTGGTACTGACCACACGACTGGTGGCTCAAGTGGCTACTACATTTATATTGAGACGTCGTCTCCAAGGAAGGCTAATGACACAGCACGCATCGAGAGTGCCACGATTCCTGCTACTCAACTCAAGTGCTTGCAGTTTTGGTATCACATGTACGGTCCTCATGTTGATACTCTGAACGTGTACACCAAGGCAAATGGACAGCTGGGTTCACCTGTTTGGACATTGAGTGGTTCTCAAGGAAACAAGTGGAGGCATGCAGTTGTTTCTTTGACTGTTTCATCTAAATTTCAGGTAAAGGGTTAGGGTTAGGGTGACACTCTGTACAGGGATGAAGTGTTCAGTCTTTCTTTACAGCTTTATTAAGCACTATTTGTACATGGAAGACTTATTGCACTTATTGACTTATTGTTGTCTCTGTCGAACCACCTGAAGGTCGCAGGAGACACCTATCTATAAATAAATTCAGAAGGCAAAATCTTGCTGTGCTACGTCTTTTAAAAACGCTTGTATCTCGGTTGTTTTGGAAGCGATTTAGATAAAAATTTTACACAGACATTGAAGAATGATGGTTTTTAATTGGTTGATCGCGCTTTGCGGTAATGCTTTTAGCCATATTTGTGGCTATTGGGAAGTCGTGATTTTGTGTCCAAGTTTGCGGAAAGAATAGAAGACAGCATTCTGTGATTTTATTAACAAATGATCGGTCAAAACCTCTAGTGTTCCTTGTATAGAGCTGATTTTAAGAGCTGATTTTACAATTTCAAGTTTGCCAGCAAGATATACTCGATTAAATGAGCAAAATCTGTGATCCCCGAAATTAACGTTGAATCGCAGATTATCTGAACGCGCCAGTGAATCACATGATCGATGTAGCGAGCTACTGGGCATGCGCATGCTAAAAGACTGCTGACCTCAGGCACTTGATGCTCTTTTAGTTGTTAACTCCTTTAAATTGCAATTCGTCGTTCTTCATGCACATGCTTTAACTAACCGCTTAACAATGACCTCAAGGTGTCCCCCGCGACCTTAAATGATCTGGAATGTCAATAGGGTCCTGATCAGTCGCATTTAGAATAAAGGAAAATCAAGGAAATCAAGGCATCAAAGCTTACCATACTTAACCATAACCATCTCACCTGTACATTCCATAATTACTTGTACGATTTTTGTCTCAAAACGCAAAATCATTCTAGGAGGGCTAGTTATTTGATAGCAGTGTCGTTTTATGCTAAGTCTTGGGGAGCAAGGGATGGCACAGTGATGAGAGCACTCGCCTCCCACGAATGAGGCCCAGGGTCGAATCTCGGCGTCGACGCCATATGCCGGTTGAGTTTGTTAATGATTCTCTCCATCTTTGCTGTGAGAGTTTTTCTCCGGGTACTCCGGGTTTCTCCTCTCCTCAAAACTAACATTTCCAAAGTCTAATTTGGCCAGGAATTGTAGACGAAGAGTCACTATGTGGATGTGCTACCTCTAAATCGTTATTTTATTTAATTTTTTTCTGCTCGTTTGAACAGGTTGTCTTTGAAGGTCGCAGAGGAATTAGCTGGGCAGGGGATATTGCTCTTGATGACATTTCCCTGCAGGATGGTCAGTGTCCTCCTCAACTGCAGTGTTCATTTGAGGATCCTAATCTCTGTGGCTGGACCAATGTTCACGGTGATAACTTTGATTGGACACGTGCAAATGGTTACACAGCCAGCCGTGGAACTGGGCCATCATTTGATCACACTACGGGAACGAATAATGGTAAGTTGAAAAATCTCGGAAAGAGCTATTACTCATTTGCGTTGTGCATATCATTAGTCTGACCTGACTGGCCTGACCAGCGAATTTCCACTATAAGTCAGGACTCTCCAGCCGATCAGTCTAATCCAAATAAGTGTACTGCACGGTAATGTCTTGTTTTCTTTCAAAAAGTCTCTTTCATTTTCAAGAATAATGACTGGCTAGTCCTGACTTTTGGTTCCCCCTTAATCTCCTTGTCTCATCGGTAGTGGTGGTGGTAGTGGTGCATTCGACTGCCACCAGCAGCAAATTATGTAAAGAACACCTTCTTGCTTAAGCTTTCTTTATCCTCTGACCTTTAGGGTACTATATGTACATTGAGACCTCTAGGCCTCGCTCCAAAGGTCACAAGGCATGGCTTGTGAGCCCTCAGTTCAAATCCACTGGTGGTAGATGCCTTCAGTTCTGGTACCACATGTATGGATCAACCATTGGAACACTTAATGTTCTTTTGCTGCAAAACAATACTCGCTCTTCGCCGATCTGGAGCCTGTCTAGTAACCAAGGAAACGTATGGAGAATAGCTCAAGTTACACTGAAGAGTCCCATTGACTTCAAAGTATGTGTGTCTTGCTGCCGCCAACCGTACTATAGCTAATAGGAAAGCAGTCTTTTATTTCAAAATATTTCAGTGATTCCTTTTAGGAAGTGACAGTACATACAACTAAAACCAATAGACCTATTCGACTAACTCAATGTTGTACCCAATTCAAATCTCCCGGGGTTAAGATTCTTTGTGTATTGTGTTTGGATTATAATGTGGCATTCACATTTAAATGTATGGAAATTCCTGAAAGAAAAAGTTTTATTCCCAAAGGGTTTGAATTGGGTACAACATTGAGTTAGCCGAATAGCTCTATTGTCATTTTTCTATCGATTTAGAGTAGTTATGCAACAACTAGTTATTGTACCATTTCTAAGAATTAAAAAACCTACAGTTTTGGAAGAAAGTGGGCGCTATGAAATACCGTGAAACAAATTAGAATTGTTTTCTAGACTTAAAACAGGGATCAAATCTACTTAGATAAAGTAGCCTGTGTACAGACGCCCCCCCTCCTCTCTCTCCCCGATGTTTTCTGAGGGGAGGGGGACGTCTGTACACATGCTAAGATAAAAGGAAGAAATTGTACTTATTAAACTCTAGGTGTTTGGTAAATCAATTTTGCCTGATGTTGTCTTGCAGGTAATATTTGAGGGTATCACTGGAACCAGTTACACTGGTGACATTGCAATAGATGATGTTGAGATCATGGATGGTGCCTGTCCATTGCCAGGTTTGCTACGTGATGTCGTAATAAGTTTCACATGTTGTTAGTCAGTGCTCAGCTTAAATTGTAACTAAGTATTCTTAGCCCTCTTTTCTTCTTGTTGAAACTCTCAAAGTAAAGATATTAGATGATGACAAAGCATTGTCTTCTTTTGGTTATTTTTCGACAGCTTACGGGTTTCACCTGAACGAGTTGGCCCAGTTTTCAAGTTGTAATCTGTTTCATCTTGGCTATCGAAAGCCAGAGTGATTTGAAATAAAACTGAACCATAAAACTAAACCATTGCATGTTGCATGAGGTTGCTTTAAGCATCATAAAGAAAATCAAGAACTCGTAACATAGCTTCTTTAATACTGATAGAAATGTTTCAAATTCTCGCAGTTATAGGTTTTTGATTCAGTTCTTGCCGCAGTCAAAGTGTTATATACTCCAGGGCCCAGTTGTTGGAAGGCAGATTAACGCTAACCTGGGGTTAAATCTTAATCCAAGTTTCTTTTCTTTTGTTCAAAAGCATTTTTTCGGATAATTTTCTCTATTCGTTTATAGCATCCAATTACCAAATTGAAGACAAAGAATTGAATTTGCTTTGTAAACTTTTATATCTGGATGATTCAAAATTCGAACTATCCCCGGGTTAACTTCATCTTCCAGTATGTGTTTAATAATGTTTTAACACAACGCTACCGGTTCATTAATTGTAACTATGATTTGTTTTACAGGTGACTGTGATTTTGAGAAAGGATTGTGTACTTGGGTCAACTCTATGAATATTGTGGATGATGAATTTGACTGGACAAGGGGAAGCGGTGGAACGCCCAGTGGTTTTACTGGCCCTAAGATAGATCATACAACAGGGACAGGAAAGGGTTAGTGCTTTTTTCCTTCAAAGAATATTTGAATTTGCAAGGTTTTTAGTAAGCCGTGAACTGACCTTGCAGACAAGGAAAAGGGAGGGATGTTTTGCTTTTGCTGGTAACAGGGTTCGTACAGGTCATAAAAACCTGGAAAGTCAAGGAATTTAAGCATTTCATTTTCCAGGCCTGGAAAGTCATGGGATTTTATTGTCGCTTCTTGAAAGTCATGGAAAGTTGAAGTTTTGTTTGGTAGTTTAGTTACTGCAGATGACGAAGCATGGGAAATGTAAGATAGAGAGAAGTAATTAAACAGCAACAAACGGCGCGCATTTTGGCGGCCACCAGTTTTTGTGTCTGTTGAACTGTTTAACGTCGAAAAATACCCCAAAACAAGGAAAAGTTTGAAAAATTTTGAAAGCAACAAATAAACCTTTAAGTCTTGGAAAACTTGAAAAGGTCATGGAAAGAGTCATGGGAGTCATGGAATTTGAAGAACTTAAAAGAGTACGAACCCTGTTAGGGTAAGAAGTGGGCGTCGATGATGTAATGGGAACAATGCAAGTGGTGGGATGAGGAGTGGGAGAAATCCCATGCCGTTATGAAAAGCCCTTATAAATCTGCGTCTGTTATAGTCAAAAAGTAAACAAACTTGGTTTTCCCCTACATTCCTCCATTTTCAAAGAGAAAGAGAAATCATGTAAAAAGGTTCTTAACTGCGTTTAAGAAATATCGATTTAATGAAGCAAAGAACTGTAATCCTTCACAAGAGTTTTGCGCACTTCTTTGTGGTGCAGTTACTGATGCAGTCCTATTTGTTTCCATAGGCAACTACATGTTTATAGAAACATCGTACCCTCGAAAGCGCGGTGACCGCGCAAGATTCGAAAGTGAAATCTTTCCTCCAACCCCTAGCAATGGGAGATGTATGTCTTTTTGGTATCACATGAAGGGCGGCCACATTGGTACTTTGAATGTCTACATGAGAATCTATGGCCAGTCAGAGACCAAGCTGTGGAGTATGTCTCTTGACCAAGGCGACAGGTGGAACTCTGCTGTGGTACCTATTTTGAGTGGCAATCGCTATTATCAGGTATGAGTTAGTGGAATGATAGGCCTTTTGACTAGAGAGTCAGTTTTAGGCTACGTTAACAAGACGTGGCCTGTTGAAAGTTCGCGCATTTTAGGATGTTCCGTTCCACCTTAACCGTTCAGAAACTTAGACGCATAGCCGTTCAAAATTCGGCCGTCCAACGTTATCCACCGGGTAACATTTTTGGCCTGTATAGTGGACAATTTGACCGGCGCGGTGTGAACACCATAAGCGTCTTAATTTTTATAACGTTGGGTGGTAACTCATCTGGGAGACTCCATCTTGGATTTGCTGAAAAAGCGCTCTGCTCATAGGCAGATGGTAAATCCACTGAAAGAAATTAAAAATTCAACCTGGTTCGTCAGTTCCGTGTGAACGGAGCAAAATTGTTGAACGGTTCCCTGTGAACGAAGTGTCATCCGGTCAAATTTGACATCCGGTCGAAGATTCGTCCGCTGTCGTGTGAACGTAGGTTTGGGTTATGACGTTGAAAGATGATTCACAGAGACTTGAAAATTCCTTGAACCTGAAATGAAGCCTTTAGAGGCCCTTAACGCCCTTAAATTTTACAATTTACGTCTTGAAAAGAACTTGATAATAAGATAATGAAGTTGATAGCTTCATCCACAGTTTTCGCCAATTTTCAGCTAAGAAATGCGTCAAGAGGATTTTGTTGTGCCAGCTTGGCGTGGGACGTGGACCAGTTTTCGAAAAAAGCCAATTTGGTGTAATAAATTTTTGCTTGTAGATTATTTTCGAAGGTGTGCGTGGAACAGATTACCAAGGGGACATAGCAATTGATGACGTTTCCTTTACTGCAACGGTTGGCAGCTGTAATGTGTCTCCCTCCGGTGCGGCTCCATTTGATTGTAACTTTGAAACAGGATTGTGCAGATGGACACAGTCACGCCGGGATCGTTTTGACTGGACAAGACACAGGGGTTCCACAGGCAGTTTTCTGACTGGTCCAAGTATTGATCATACAGCAGGAACCAGTGAGTGTGGCTTAATTGCGTTTAACCTCACTAGGATGGTAACCCTTTGGACATTATGTGATAGTTTAAAGGGGTTATTAGTTGTTTTATAGCACTACTGTACCCACTTACCTTCATGCCGTCGTCGTTGTTGAGATCAGCCTCAGCTCCTCTGACAAAACTGAGAACAATGTGTCTTGTGATATCGGTTGGTGTATGGATGAAGGGCAATAAAATGCTTAGTTTGTTGCGTGGTGAATAGTTACCAAAAACTTTAGTAAATAATAATTTAAAAGGAAGGCAAGAATGTACTTTTTTCACCATAATACCGTAAATGATCTAATGATCTAATAAACGCCCTCCCTACGCTGTTAAGTATGTATTAAACGCCCCTCTCTAATAAACGCCCCCCGTGAAAATTGCTTCAAAATACTAGGAAATGGAAAAATCGAGTAAAATCAATCAATTTATTACGTAATTTCATTGCTTGATTAACGTCCGTGTGTGTATTATGTCATGTTCCGTTCAAGTTCAAAGTAATGACAGTGCTCTTTGATCTTCTTGATCTCGTTGCGCACTTGTTAAAGCACCCTCTTGATTGTAACAAAAGAGAAAAAAAATAGATTCTGTTAACACACAAACGTTTTTGGCCGAAAGCATATTGTATACAGTTTTGTTGAGTTCGTTAAAATGAGTTACGATAATAAATGCCTCTCTCTTTTAAACGCCTTCCATCTATTAAACGCCCCCTCTTGGACCCCTAAAATTTGATAAACGCCCAGGCGTTTCATAGATCATTACAGTATTCCTGTAGTGACCTATCCTTTGGACCCATGGTACGTACTTTAAGACGGAGTTTACCAGGAAATTGAATAATTTTAATTTTCAGTGGACAAAAACCTTGTACCAGAATAATTTAAAGCATATTGCATTCTTTTTAACATTTTTCAAGGGCTAAAGATATTAGTCATCTGTAGTAACACCAAAGAAAATTTCTGTTAAAATACTGCGACAATCGTTAAGTATGTTTTGATTTTATTCTTTATTTTAACAAATTACGCAATTGTGATTTCTCAGGTAAAGGGAAAGAGTCCTTATTTTGCGTCGGTAGCTCGAAATAGTCTTCTGACTAACAATCCTGAAGCCGACGGTACTCTCAGTTTACCCCCCCTCCCTCCCTCTCTCCCTCCCCTCCCCCTCTCCCTCTCTCCATTAGTTTTCCGTTTTACAGGTATTTAAAGCTACTTAAAGCTACACAGAAAGGAAAGAAGTCGAAAGAAGGATTTGTGGTCACTGCACCTGGGAATCGAACTCGGGACCTCCCGCACAGGAGGCCGCGCACTAATCAACTGCGCTAATCCTTTCTACGCTCACTATTAGTGGTACACTTAGGGCCAAGTGTCCTGATCACTGTTGAACTATTTCCATTTTCTTTACAGGACAAGGCTGGTATGTATACATCGAAACATCATCTCCGAGACTACCTAATGACACTGCGCAAATCATCAGCCCTACAATAGCAGGCAATGGCACTAAATCCATACACTGTGTCTCTTTCTGGTATCACATGTACGGTCCCCATGTTGATGTGCTGCGTCTGTACAAGAGGCAAGGGTTTTCCCTTGGAAAGCCGCAGTGGATGAGGCAGGGTGATCAGGGCAATAGATGGATCCAGGGTGAATACACGGTGGAGCACACAGGCAATGTTCAAGTAAGGTTTTCAATACCTGTGTGTATGCTGAATTTATTTTTTATTGTTAACACACCATTAATAGATAGGCACATCACTTATTTGTATCGTAATGTTCATTGTGATACTCCCAATGAACAACTGACTAGCCCTTTGCTTGGTAATACACTCGATCTTTGCAGACTGTGTTTTCAGCAAATTATATACCTTGAGTATTTTTTGTCACCAGTCAATGTATTGGTATCAGAAGAGAATTCACAAATTAAAAAGAAAATGTATGTACGATTGGAAGTTATTCAATGCCAGCTAGTTTTATGTTGGTATATGTAGAAAAGTTGCTTTGGATTCAATGCTCAATCTAGTAACTACCCAGTGTTGTTCTGTAGGGACTCTTCCAAGGTTAACTTCTTGGCAATGCTTATAAATAGCTAAATTCCAAGTAATTTCCTCGGATTGTATAGTGTTAAAGAATTCTGATCAACTCGTTGACTAACGATGTTTTAGTAATTACGAATATATGAATTTCATCTACTGGAACCGCGGAATGAAGAAACAAATGCATACGACGTCGTCGCAGTTAAAGATGTAGCTTATGCATTTGCGAGAAGATAGCATATTTTTGTCAGATCTTTTGTCGCTATCAAAATAGATTAGGAAGAAGGTAAGTTCGCACTCAGTTGTCAAATAATTGTAACTGTATCTTTTTTTCAGATTGTGTTTGAAGCCGTTCGTGGAGTAAGTTATCGTGGCGACATAGCCCTTGATGATATTGCATTGAAGGACGGAAGCTGCCCATCATCAGGTAACTTCTCTTAGCTAAATGCTACAATTAGCGCCTGGGGCGGTTATTTGAATTTTCTTCGTTGAGACGGGGCGCTGTTTCAACTGTGGAGTGCTTATTTTTCTTTTCAAATTTCGGTCTCAAAATACTCTTCGCACGTAGGTCGCATACGGGGAGGTTAAACCGTATTTCTTTTACTCTTTGTCGTGCTTCATAACAGCAGGATAATTTCATTTTACTGTGATGCAGAGTTTTGGTGTTAAAAACTGTGTGTTTACATAAAAGCGCGATGATTCACAATTTGGGAATAATTGGTTTTTGGAATAGCACTCATTGTTTCTGGAGAGGACTGGGACGCGTTATTTTTCTCAAGATGATTCCCAGCACTCACCATAACTATTTGTAAAAATATCCTTAATTTTATCGCAGGAATGTGTAGCTTCGAGGCATCTGATATCTGTGGTTATAAGCAAGATCACGACACGGATAAATTTGACTGGGTGCGCAGCAATGGTCCAACGTCCAGTATTGGTACAGGACCTGTAGCAGATCACACATATGGAACTGTCTATGGTAAGTATGCAATGACCAGTGAACTTGTCGTTTGTCATCCCTATTAAATTTATTAGGGGGGAAATAGAATCAAATCATCAATTGTTATGATGCCTGTGCTTTCATTATCCACAGACCTCAGATGCAAGTGTTACTCAGCCTTTAATGACTTTTTTGTGGTTACCTATCAAAGGATTATCTTAGAGGCCTGATAAGGCATATTTTCCTAACTTTTTCCATTTCCCAATCCGATGCTCTGCTCTCCTCCAGTTTCTTGTCAGAAAACAAGCCAACTTCACTTAAAATACAAAAATAGGTTCGTTTAGTGGCCAAAGAATCGCAGCGGTATGCATCTTATTAAGATGTAAAAGCCCTTTACTTGATGTAAAAAACATCAAATATTGTAAGGCCTCGTTTATATGGAGCAAAGTTGGTCAGCCGCCTAGCCAAGCCACCCTGGGCGAGCCAACTTCTCATGCTTTTCCTTATAAACCAGGGCGAATCGTTTACATCAGAAGCCAAAAGTTGGCTCGGCTAGAAAAGTGACCCAGACGTTTTTGATGGTAGTGTCACCCTCAGTAGCCAGGCCAACTTGTCTCTATGAAAAAACATTTTGGCTCGCCCAGCTGGGTCAACTCTGTCAAGGTGAGACGATCGGAGCTTGCGCGAGCGGTGTTTTAGGCAATCAGAGCACGCGCGCTCATGGACGTTCGCTTATAAGTTGATTTGTCTGAGTTGATTTGTCCCTTTCTACCTGGGACAGGTCAGGTTCTGCATTCAAACGGGGCCTAAGTTGTATGAAATAAGCTGGCATCCCATATATTTTAAAAAAAAGGAAAACAAAAAACAAAACAAAACAATGCGACCAGGAATTTCTTTGTTTGAAAATATAGTTATTATGGCTGTGTTGTTTTTAGGTCATTTCATGTACATTGAAGTGTCCCCTAGCAACCTAAACAGAGGGGATTTTGCACGTTTGCTCAGCCCAAGATACCAAGCCACCCAAGGGTCTTGTCTTCAGTTCTGGTATCACATGTATGGTCGCACAATTGGAACACTGAATGTCTACATTAAGAATTGGTCTTGGTCCATGTCCAAAGTGTGGAGCAAAAGTGGTAACGATAGCAACATTTGGAATGTAGCCCAAGTCAGCATTAGTAGCCGCTACGCCTATCAGGTATGTAGTTTTCTGAACTTTAAAATGCAAGGCTCTTATCAAGTCTTGTTTTAGCTGTCCTTTGGCTCTCGGAGGTACGGGGTGGGGGAAGGAAGGGGACCCGCCGCCAGAGCGCCCCGGGTTCCGCCCCCAAGAAAGCACCCCGTGCACAACAATCCCGCCAGCTACACAGGGTAATGTCTGACCAACATACCAGTTTATGTGGACTAAACAGACACGTTGTTGATGAAACGTTATATAGATTTTTCATCGCTTTAAGAACTAATGCAAATCACAGACTTAAAAGTGGCAATCTTTTGTATTTGATTTGTTCTGTCTTCATGACCAACTGCAGGCAAGGTTTCGTCGGACATGGGCAAAATTTGGTGAGATATTGCCCCATAGGCGGCGTTATATCCCAGCCGCAGTGAAGCGGTTGAGTGAGTGAG